TATATATATATATATATAAATAAAATAAAATAAAATGTTTGACTAATAGGGGTGGTATACTAAACTTATATACCAAAAAGTGTTGTATCCCACTGTATTGCATAGATAGGTATAACATAACTGAATAAGCTAAATACAAGTCTTCATGATCTCACACACACAGACACACACACACTGTTTACTGTTCACACACAAAATTTTACTGTTTCCGTTTCTAGTACAACCCTCTTTCCTTAGCTCAAGTATGCAAACCTCTTTGCCACATGCACTGGAAAATGTATTACATTGAAAGTTACATTTTCAAATAAAAATGGCAACATGATCGTTTTATAAAGTGTATGCGTTCATATGTGCTTCAATTTCACTGGAGGAAACAACTGTGGTGTGATGAGGGGTGAACGCAGCGAAAACTTAGGCTACAGTAGAAGGGGAACCGATTGATATTTTGTAAACTGTATTTATGACAAAGAACAGAACTGCACAGATGTGGATATTATAACAATCTATCGATAAACACACACCTTGTCCTCTGTTTCCCCTTCGGGAACTCGAGCTGCGTCGGAAAACGCTAGGGGAACACCTTCAGCGATACCAAGCTCTGAATCATATGTGTAATCAGTCGAACGATGGGCGAAACGTCAGCGGCGGGTGACGTCATGACCAGGAAGCTTTAAAAGCACGTGAGGTGCAGCCGGCGCTAGCTTTCTGTCATTCAGCAAAGCTCTCTGTGTGTGTCGGTCACGATTTATGTTCTGTGAGTCTTATTTATTGTTGTCTGTCCAAAAAGTGCACAAGCATTCAGAATATAAGCTCCAGCAGAGATAAAAGGTCTGCGGATTGAAAAAGAACGTGCTGAAAGACGGCGAGGAGTCGATCAAAGTCTGCCGCCGTTTTCATATGAAATTTAAAGGGGACTGATTGAGGCGATCACGAATTCGTGTACAGTTTATGGAGCTAATCGCAAAATTTCGCAAAAACTGGCCTAGCAACGCCCATGATTCAAAGAGTATTTGCCATCATTTGTTTGCTTCCTCTAAGCAAACAAATTTGTTTGCTTCTCTCTAAATCAAGCCGCACTGCCTTTGGTGATCAACACTTGGCATTTTGAGAATGCAGCTAACGCAGGTGACACACTAACCATGACTTTGTCGTGTACGAGCTCTGAGGAATGACTAGACTGTAAACTTCTGTGGTTTGACTCTGTAGCCTGGAGCGCACAGCAGAGGGGCGGCTCGCTTCTGGATGCGGTGGAGAGGGGCTGCGCGCAGTGTGAGCTCGAGCAGTGTGATGGCAGCATGTGGTTCGGCGGGAGTCTGGATGAGCGCGGAGAGACAACCCTGGACGCGATGATCATGAATCAATGGGTAGGAATACTATGTATCAGTATGCTTAACCAGGCACTCACCCAAAATTATAAATCAATTACAAAAAATAAAAAAATACAAGTAATATATTCAGGAGTATTATTGTATTTTCTTTATATATATGGTTAAAAGTCCAGTTGTACTATTACAAAATGATGTTTAAACAACATAAACACACATACACATTACACACAGAGATTGTGACAACTTCAGCAGAACATTATTTTTAATCACTTTTGGCACTAAAATAAAGTATGCCAGAGCATACATCACCATTAATATTACTATTTCAATACTATTCAAAATATATGCAAATAAGTTTACTGCTTGAGCCCAGCAAGATTATAGTTCACTGAAACTGAAACTAAAATGTTACTGTTCTAAAATATCATTTTCGTTACTTGAAATAAAATAATGTTAACTGAAATAAAAATATTTTTATAACGTAATATTATAATAAATATATTTTATAACGTATTTTATTTCAGATAGTTTTCAAGGCAACATTTCTTATTTTCATTTAATTTAACTTGATGTACTGAAATAAATAAAACTAAGACTAAAATAAAAGAATTATAAAAACTATATTGAGAAACAACAAAGACTGTAAAACTTTAGATGAGGGAACACATATTCACTATTAACTAAGAGTTTTCCTTCAATAAACTCCTAATTTGCTGCTTATTGATAGTAAGGTAGTTATATAAAAATAAAACCTTATTAAAAATATGAACAAAAACCATAGAAAAATAACACTGGAACCCAGTATGTCACTGTAACGATATATTGAAAATATCATGCCAAAATCTGCAGCTAACTATACAGTTTGGCCTTTTTGTTTTTGTTATTATAGTTTGCATAGTTACTGTTTAAGTCTATACATAAAATTAAATTATTTTGGTTGCAAAAAAATAAATGATATATGTACAATCAAAAGCATCCTAGAAAGTTTTAATGTAGACAAAAATGTTTTGCAAATATTATTTGGAATATTAACAAAGTGGTTTAGTGCGTATATAGGTTCTTGTTTATAGTTGTAAGGTCAAACATAAGGATTTATTTAACAATATATACCCTGATTTGAGTAATATTTCTAATTAAGGTCAAGGGAAGGCAAAAGTCTCAATTAAATTAGACTCATTTTATTTATTCTTCCATTTTATACATCTACGCATCATCTTATATTGTAAAAGACCTCTCTGTTCCCTCTAAAACCAACATGCATATCAGCTGTGTTTTTGTTTGCTGTTTGTCCCATGTTTAGAGACACAATGGATGTAGGGGCAGTGGCAGACCTACGCAGGGTCAAAAATGCTGTGGGTGTTGCCCGAGCGGTGATGGAATACACAGAGCACACCTTTATAGTGGGCGAGTCATGTAGGAACTGTACACTCAATGGCCACTTCATGTCTAATCAACCAATCACGTGGCTGCAACTCGGTGGACAGAGGTTCAGTTGTTGTTTACAGTACATCAGATTGGGGAAAAATGTGATCACAGATGGAGTTATTTGAGTATTAAATGACTATTTATATCTATTTAATATTTATTTCTCAAAATCATGTGCAGACACTGGAGGCCTGGACTGATTTTATATCAGCTTAAAGTATACACAGCACTTTACATTTTGTAATTCCATTTATAATGTTGTGCCGTACTATTAATTCCATCTGCTCTCTTAATTATAAGGAATTGTAGAGTACTAAAACAGCTTTCTTTCTCTATGCGTGGGTGCTTAACATCCACATTACAATAAAAAAGGCTGAGTCAGCCTCCCACTGCTCCATTTTTTTTTTTGCTCTTTCCTGCATCTAATGTTTATTTCAAATCAGCCCTACTATGTTACTCCATGTGTTCAAATCTCCCTTGCTATATGAAGTGTAGTAGAACTGAAGAAAAAACTGTCTTCATGCAGCCACAATCTTTGCTCAAAACATGGGCTTCATGACTGAGGACTTGTCAACTAACCAATCAATAGCTATTTTCTCCCAGTGGTTGCAGCAGAATTGTCAACCCAACTATAGAAAGGTGAGTCCCCAAAAACCAGGAACCTCAGTGTAATCATCACTCCAGGGTTTACCTTTAAAGTTCTTACCTTTGGCGTCTTCAAACATGGGTTTAGAAGATGATCTGTGGCAGATAAACCGTTTCAATATACTTCAAATGTACCAAACACCTTTGAAAGATTTTTTTTAGATATAAATAAATAAAATAGTTTCAGTCATTGTTATGGTTTGAATCAGAATTCTTTGTGCATTACGAATCTTGTAAAGTGTACAGTGAGACGCAGAGAGTCATGTTTACCTCAATTCATGCAGACTTTGCTAAGAAGTTTTGGAAGGATATCAGTGTAATCACAGACAAGAAAATATGCACAGTGAAACACAATGAATAATGCATAGTGAGATTTATGAGGAATACAATGGTTGATACCAACATTCTGCTATTGGCACAATCAAAGCCCTATGGAAATATCCGAAACAATGCTCTGAATACATTTTTTTTTGTTGGTCTCCATACTCAGATTAAACTGTAAGCGTTGTTGGCCAAGTTAATCAAAACTTCAAAAATCAGAATCTTTCCCCAGAAAACTTTAAGGTGGATAAAACAAATCAGAGATATGGAAATAAACTTGCTATGTAATTCTAATTTTAAAGCTTTAAAGTCGTAAAAAAACAACTTTGTTCTGTGTCCCAGATTAAAGCGTAATTGAAAGCATAATCAGTTATGTGTTTATTTTGCCTTTTTATTTTACAGAATGTTTTTTCCAGACCCTTCCGAATCATGTGGGCCATACAAGCCCAAAGCCAAGCCGTGGAGGCCTAAGAATCTGGTAACTGTTGATTCTTATTTATTGACATATTTTTTTAAATAATAATAATCGGGTCAGACAAAATTATCATTCTTTAGACAAAAAAATCTGTTGCAAATGCAAATGCATTTTTCTGAATGCAGACATGGACCACAGAGTCCAAACTCATTAGTTTTAATTTGCATGATGAAAAGGAAGCATGATAAATGGGCTGAATACCTTGAGGACATGTTTAAAAACCATTGCTTGACTCAATCCATTGAGGCATATGATCTTAGTGTTACATTCTTACTATAAATTCTCATTAGGAATGGTTGCGATTTATAAGAACGGACAGGTGGCTGCTGCAACGTCTACCAATGGAGCAACACATAAGATACCAGGGTGAGTATGACAGCCTGTCAGTATTGTATGTCTCAACTGTCCTGTTCACGCCAGAATGCATGAGTGTTTAAAACTGGAAGAAAAAACAGAACCTCAAGAACCTTGTTCAATGAGATTTAGCTTCACTGACAGAAATGGGTTTCCAGTCACCTGTCAATAGAGCTGTAGTAAAGTATATGCATGCTGATCTGTAGCCGTGTAGGTGATTCACCAGTGGCTGGAGCCGGGGCTTATGCCGACAACACAGCGGGAGGAGCGGCCGCCACAGGGGATGGAGACATTATTCTGAATATGAATAATAATCATGGAATTTATTGTCAAAACCCTTCTTTTGTCCAAAGGTGCTGCTTGTAACAAGCGTTCTGGGTTCAGCCAGTTCCCCTTTATGGTGGTTAACCCACAGACAAACCAATCTCAGTTGCAGAAGGTGGACCGCTTTTAAATGACAACAATTTTGTTTTATTTTTACATGCTTTTTAAAGTTTGTTAATCAATTATTGACTGGTATATTCCTTATGATCAATGTTCACTTTGCACTACTTTTAATATATATTTAAAAATCTGTTCTAAGATCTATGAAGGACGTTAAGCTCTAGGAAGTTTATAGCTTGCAGTGGTACATGTTTCCACTGAAAGCAAAGGGAAAGACAGAAATTGGAAATGCTTTATTAAAAAAAAAAAAAAA